CTTCCTTCCTTCCTTCCTTCCTTCCTTCCTTCCTTCCTTCCTTCCTTCATTCATGTATGTACTGTATATAATCAGATTGTAAAGATGCTCCCTGGGAAAAGCATTCCATAACCAGGATGCCATTACAGACTCCTCCTTACCTTCAGCCACAGTCTACTTCATCTGTAAAAATAGATAATATATCTATGATTGTAATATTCAGGCAGTATTGTAGGAGTGGTTGTCCCTTTATTAACTTTTTCTTTGCTCTCTCTCTTTTTAGAAGATTTTTATCAGCTGTGCAATATAGTGAGTGAAGCTGGACTCCAAGAAAGGCCCAGCTACGAATATGGGCCAAATCAGGACAGCCATCAATATGAGCTTTACACCCCAGATTTGGAGCCCTATTTGAATCGCTTGGATCGTGAGGAGGGAGCAGCTGACACCAACAGAGAACAAAACCATGCATTTGAGGATAGCACAACACCACAAAGACAACAGCTCCTCCCAGTTCAGACACAGCCTCGCTACATGCCTGAGCACATTGGTAAATGGCAGGGAAAAATAAATAAAAGTTCAGGTTATGTTTAGGAATATGCTACAGGTATATTACCACCAACACTCCAATTGTAGGCATTTCAACCTACAATCCTATTTCCTGTTTTTTGAGCAGGACTCCAGGATATAATCCCCTTTCTTGATGTAGTAAATAAGCCAATCCTTATACAGTATTCAGGTATTTGGATGCCAGAACAGGTCCAGAGGTTGGCCAAAAATGCAGGAAAATCTTGGTTTCAGCCAAGTGCTCAAGCTAGATTCTTCCAACATCCAAAGAGAAGTTCTGCAATGGCTAATTCCACAGAGCCAGTTGTGCTAATCCAGGTGAAGGGACTATGTATATCACTTGCTGGATCATGCAGTTGGAAGCCTCTTTGATTTCCCCTTGTGATCCTTCCTTTCATATGCAAGTCTTCTTAATTGGATTAAAGTGATAAGAAAGAGGAGGTGCCATCTGAGAAAGGAGGGCCAATGGAAAGAAAATGCCTCTTTCCATTTTGTTAGTTTTTTCACAGATTTAGGTCTCTAATATTAAATTAAGGTCATTGCCCAAAGAGGAAAAACAGAAACAAAATATATAAGCCGTGGAGTGTTTCCAAAGGTCCATGCTTGCCCTTAACATACATACGTACATACATACATACATATTTGAAGGAACCTTCCTCCTTTCAGATTATCCTATTCTTCACTGTTTTTTCCTACATGCTTCTTACTCTCTCATCTTTCAGAGCAGCACAGCAGCTTTGAAGGACTACAAGCAGAAGAATGTGGAATTCTTAATGGTTGTGAAAATGGACGGTGTGTACGTGTGCAGGAAGGCTATACTTGTGACTGCTTTGATGGCTTCCAGTTAGATTTGGAGATCATGGCCTGTTTGGGTAAGTAGTTCCATGAAAGAAAGTATGGTATATCTTGCCAAAAACAGTACAGCAAAGACCCCAAAAACCCCGAGTTACTAACTAGGGCTGGGTTGATCTCCATTGTTGCTATACTAAAGACAAGCAAACCACACTATCACTTAGTGTGTATATCAGCCGGACCACAGAGGGAGGTCTAATCAGAATTACAATTGAGCATCAGTGAATGAAAGAGCTGTGTGCATTTTCAGACATAACTGACTCCTGGAAGATTGTAGTGCTATAGTACTGAATATTTCCTGAAGCATATCCTATCAATGGGTTCCATACAAACTATATATAAACAACACTGCCTGTACATGAAAACCCATTAGTCCTAAGGACATATTTTCCCAGAGCTGTAGAACTGACCATATAATTGCTGTTTGTGTAGTACAGGGTCTTGTTTATTGAGTATTAATCATTGCTATTATTTCTAACTAGCCAGTTGAGACTTCACATAAAAATGCCTCTCTGTGTGATGTGTCAGCTCAGCACAGATTGATTGGCAGCTGTAAAATCCAGGTGTGGTTGTCCACTTTCCCCTCATAAGAAGGGACTTCCTTGCAAAGAAAAATGGGAGTGTTTTGCTGGAGAATTCATGTTCTTAGCAAATTATTGAAGGCACAATTCAAAGTTTAGAAGAGCTTTACTCACTCCATTCTTATAGCAAAGTCTACCTTCATATGAGGTTAATCCAGAGAGTATCTTACTGTAGTACAATGATTATTTAAATTCTGCTCCTTTTAGGTGCTTTTGTGCATACGATTTTGAATCACTTTCAGTTTAAATGAGATACAAAGAACAGCTATGGTGTATTTCACAAAGCCTATTGTTAGGTTTAAAATCTTTCTCAGTGTTTGCATGCAGCAACATTATGTACTTTTAGATCCTAACCATAATGATCTATAAGCCCACTTCTGTTTAAGGTGAGAATGTGTATTACTTTGTTTACTGTACCGGCTCTTTCTGCTCAATAGGAACCTGGATTAAGCCTTTCCTACCAGGAATCTATATCCCAGTAGACAAATGGGATGTGTAGAGGATGATGAATGGCACCAGAGCCGAGTGTAGCTGCTTTCATACTGACTCAGCATTTTTTCAATTTAGATCTAAGCCTGTAAGCCAAAAGGAATGCGAGAAAGGTTCGGTGCTGTTGGATCTGAAAAGTATTCTCTCTCTTTCCCCTCCCCATCAGATATCAACGAATGTGAAGCAGCAAATGCCTCCATGATTCTTTGTCAAGGTAATACCTGTGAAAACACCGAGGGCTCCTACCGCTGCACCTGCTCACCTGGCAGTGCAGCTCTCTTGGAGCCTCACTGCATTCCAGAGACTGCACAAAATCCAGAGGCAGCGTAATTTCAAAAGAAGTGATAAAACGGAGGCAACATTTTCAGCCATTTGCTTCAAGAACTGGAGATCTGTGCAGCCAGAAAATAGTTTCAGGGATCTCAGCAGCTTTAAAATATTTTATTTCCCAGAAAGCAGAGACTCAATGTATGCATCTGTTGAATTACAGTATTTCAGCCAGTGTAAACACTCAGGGCCCATTCCTCGTGTATGTACATTTGAAAAGCTGTCATTCTATTTTTATCAGAGATTTTTGGCCTTCTGTTACTAATTTGCATTGGGTGGACCAACAGTACACTTCCTCCTTTCTGCTCACCTCTTTTGTTTCTCAGTTCATATCATAGGCTGAACAAACTTGTGTCCCCTGAATTATTCTCACAAGGCTTTATCCCTTTATTGTACCAATTTCTCACTAATTCCATGTCATCTTATATTTCTTTACCATTCATAGAATACTGCTTCCGAATTTTACTTATAATACTTACTCTAGTCTTTTCAGAAATAGTCTGAGAATCTAATCATATCTGCCATAGTTGGTCAGGGACATAAAAATAGAGTTCTTCCAGCTTTGTGTACTAAATGGGCATCTCAGCCTCATAGCTACTAATGCATTATGTCCTCTTTTTACTACAGCTGAAGGAAACTTCCATTCCACAGATAACAGACATTTGGCTTCCCATTGAATCCAACCAAAAATCTATATAACCTTCCCTTAAAGTTATCCTTACCAGCAAAGCAAAAAACACAGTATCCCATTCCCAAGCCCAGAACACGTTGCCCATTCTCAGAGTTACAGCAACTATTTATAGTCTGATTGGGGCTTGGACTTTGGGGGGTCTCTGTTCACCACAAGCCATGGTGGTGAACATCCAACTGCACCTCTATGACTGCTGGAATGTTGCTTTGGGAAGCAGGAAAGATTATAGCTCTTTAGTTTTAAGAAGTACTCTCTGCATTGCTTTCCACTGGGAAAAATACAACACAATGTTAAATAAATTGTTTTTTTTTAAATTGTGCCTAATGGTGTATAGCCTGGGGCTGGTCATAAATATTTCTACATTCTCTTTCCAAGCTTAGAACTGGAAACTCTTGGGAAGAACCAGCTAGGAATCAGATCCTCCTGCTTCAGCAAGTAGAAAAGAGATGGCTAGTTTGGAAAAAAAGTACTTTTACAGATTGAGCAAATGAAAGCAACCCATATATGATAGTATGACTTTCAACCCCAGCAGTGTCCACCACACCAGTATTAGGAAGCTATACTTAGCTAACTGTGGCTGATTGCAAAAACTAATCAGGGCTGGTCTTGGTCAGCACTTGGATGGAAAATCACCAGAATTTCCAGGGCTATAGGCTTGACTGAAAAGTTGAAAGAATGTCTCAGAAGGAGGAAATACAAACCATTTCTGTATTGTTGCCAAGAAAAGTGCATGGATGTGTTCATGTAATTACTGGGTGTCAAGTTCAGCTTGAGAGAATCTTTAATTATAAGTAAATACTTCACTATCATCAAACGAGACAGAAAGAAGTTTAATTCTAAGCGTTTATTAAAAACAAAGTTATAAAAGGTGGCTGTATTTAGGAATACATCCCACAGCAACTCTAAATGAGTTACAAGATAGTGCAAAATGATTAACACAAATTATTTCTGCATAGAGATCAAGTGCCATTTGGTTTGGCATCTATTGAAAGTATAATTTCTACAGAATTAGTCACAAAATGTGGCTATCCTGTCTTCTTTTGGCTCCAGATGGCAACTGCAGTTTTAAAAAAAGTTTAGCTCATGATACAAAGGGGGAGGGGCAAAGCAGATGGAAATTTGCAGCCAGCATCTGACCATGAGAGGCACTGAAAAGGTAGAAACACAGCAACCATGTTTGCTGGGCCAGTTTTCTTACAAGTAAAGAATTTTTCTGGTAGGTATTCCATATCAAGCAATATAAATCGTCCATACACATTTTCTTTCAATTATTATAAGAAACTTTGCCCTGAGTTACAGCAAGATATCCACCAACCCATTGTTTATTCTGGCTATCCATTTTGTTCTGGATTTAGACTTTGACTCTGAGAACAATTATTGCACAGATACTATAGGAACTGAAACAGGAAATGCCTTGTATAGCAAAATACTTTACTCTTCTTTATCAAATCCCGTCCTTCCATCCTCTGTAACCCTTGAGGGCTGTTTTTTTTTTTAACTAGTAATTTCGACAGGAATCTTCCAACAGAATAACATTCCATCTTGGTCATCGTATAACTCCCACATGACAACAAGTTTAACCTAGAAAAGAAAGGAAAGTAGTAATAACAAATGATCCTCAGATATTTAAGATTTGGGGTGACTGGAGGAGGAATAAAAAATGCCACATGTGAATCAGCTTGAACTTTAAATAGGTTTCAGATTCTTCTCATATATGTTTGAATGTAGGAATCATACTATTAACTCCCTCACCAACATGGTAATATTTTTCTCTACGAATAAAGATATGTCCTTGAACATTTGTTAGAACAGATTGTTACATTTTGCATCCCTTAGTCTGAGGACAAAACAGTTGAGGTCTGAAGTCACATTTGCACATACATAATACAGTGAGCTATATGACTACATAGACCATATCGTTTCAGACTGGAGACGAGAGCAGATATGGCTGAATATGTTATAGAAACAATTCCTTGTTCTAACTGAACTTTCCTCCCAATGTGCTGATATTAATATATATATTCTATATATAGGAAGGTTTCATGGGGAGAGGCACTGTATGAAACCTTCTACAATCTGTACAATTTAGAAATTGCACTTCCACAAAAAGTACAATTTAGACAAATGTGTGAGCTAATGGTCTTTCCCTGGAGGACTTGAACCCTCTCTCGGCATAATTAAACAATGCCATTGCAAAGGCAGCCAAATTAGGACCAAGTGGTCAACCATGAGCATTCTATTTCATAAATGAGATAAAGAACCACGAAAAGCAGCTCCAAGTACAGGGATCAGTCTATTAAGAAACTCACAGATGGGTACTCGCTCTTTACTGGCAGCTTGTTCAAGTAGCTGTAAGAATGGCCCTTCTGGATAGGGCACTTGATCCCAGACTTGCATCCATCAGGCTGTTCAAGTGGGAAAGGAATATCTACGTGCAGCATTTCCCCATACACCTTTGCTTTACTGCCTTGGCTGTCAATTTCTGCAGAAGAAAAACTAGATTAATCTTAATAATAGGACAAGGAATGGAGGTTACCGACACTGCATTTCACAATAAGAAAGTGTTCTCATTGTTCCACATCCAGACTGCAGCCTTACCTATCCATTCATCCAACTGCTCTAGAGTTTGTAGCACTGCAGATCAGTAAGTCTCAATGATAAAGAATTTTTTATTTCCCTTTTCTGAAGTTCTTACAGAGAAAACACTTCCATAAATAAAACCCAGTGAAAACTACATTGTTACTGTATATAGTAACTGTGATTGTTCTCTTTTTGCATTGTGCATGTACTAGAAAATCACAGCCACTTGCAATTTCCCAGATTTATATGCACAACAACAACAACAAAAGAAACACTGGCAATCATTCCTGATAAAGTTCTACATGTAGTCATCATGGATTCTTGCCTATGAACCCCATGAAAACTACATGTAGCTGATTGCTAATAATGATTCTCAATGAAATTGTTTCATATGAAAGTGCTTTTTATATAACTATTTTAAATTAAAGCATTTTATGTGTAAGATGTTTGGAATAAACATGAAAATAACCTCACTTTGAATGCTGAAAACACATTCTGTACAAGCTTCAATCAGAAAATTAATCTTAGGTGAGTTCAAAATGAATAGGTTATACTTACTACTGGAAAATGTGACATTGACAGTGTAAGACACTCCTTTGTGGAGAAGGCACGGTTGTCTAGGGCAGGGAGTAACATTAACCTCCACAATATTACCATCTTTGGAACCTGTGCAGAAAGAATAGAATGATACCAAAAGAATAGATTGGTATCATTGGTCAAATTCCAGAGTAACAGACATGTTCTTGTAGACATTTACACATTCATATATAGCATCATCTGTCTATAATAGACTTGCTTATCACTTTAAGAGATAGGAAGGATCATAAACAGTGCATAAACAACAAGTCAAAAGGCAATCAAGAAAAATGATTCAAAATTGCACCCAGTAACTTTAGGGAAATCCTTTCTTATCTGAGAATGAATCCTGACCCAGGAAGAGGTAAAGGTTAACGAGAAGAACACATTTTCACCCATGTTCATGTCATCTTATTAATGCAGAATAAATTACACTACTCAAAATAAGCAAAAATAATCCACACACCTTACAAGGGCATTATCACCCAAACTAGTCCATATTGTAAAAAAAAGTTTTTAAATAAATGTCACTGCTAAAATCACATCACTGTAGTAACTGGGTAGCTTTAGAAACAAGTTGTCACAGAAGATTAGCACTAATACTGTAGTGATTTAAAACACACACACAATCTTATGTATCAGTTTGAATTGTACCTCCCTGAATACAAAACTTTTAGGGTCAATGTAATTAATTTCTGCCATACCACCTTGTTTAAGAGGCAATGGCTTCTTGAAAAATTCAGGACAATTGCAAAAGGAAAATGTGAAGTGTGATACTTAGATTGATCAAAACACTGCTCCCATTTTAAAGAGAAGCAAAGAGCTCAGTGACACAGACTTTACTACATTTCACAGTTGGGAACAACAGGGTGGTAGGAGTTGCATAATTCAGCCTTTCTGCAAACTGTAAACCCTAATGTTTGACTGTAAACCCTAATGTTAAAAATCTGCTAAAAAAAGTTTTCCTAAAATGAACAGGAAAACCACAAGTTCACAGTCAAGCAAAGGTCCTTGCTTTGTCCATTCAACCAGCACTGACCTATTTAACAATACATAATAGTTCGGTGGAACCACTACCTTCCTTTCTATTACAAATTTTCTGTTGTTTGACAAAAAAAAAGATGTCTTCACTGGTAAACCTTGTAGACCCTTATCTGTACCTCTTAGCACATAAGCTCTCAAAGATATCTATTTTACTTGACAAAGTTATGAGTAAAACATGTAGACTGATAAGTAAAATCTAGGTAAGCTGAAATATATGGGAATGGGGAAAAGGATTCATTCACAATCATCCATGAGTAAAATCAAAAGAGGTAAATACTGATTTTATACAAATATGATTTCTACATATTTATAGATTATCCTGATTCCATATCACTATTAATCTTCAGGTTTCTTGGACAGTTCCTTAACCCTCTTGCCTCATACAAACAGCATTCCCCTGTTTTCATCCACTTTTTGATTAAGACACTCTTAAAAGAAATAGGTCACCAAATTAAGCAATACGAGCTTGTTAAAATACTCATAGTTAACACTGCAACTTGGAAGGCTATTTATATTAATGCATGAAATCAATTCCTTTTGTTGATATTTACAACATAGCTCTTATATATCTCTAAGCAAAAGGAAGTCCCAGTGGGACTTACCCTCTACACAATGGTGCAATACCTGTCAGCTGAAGGACTATATCGGGCAGCATGTGCAGAATGCCAAGAATTGTACTTCAAAACAGCCAGGGCCTATTGGGAGGGCATTGAGGAGTTTTAAGGGGTGAAATGTGGACATTAATTATCCATAGACCTCAAGGTGCCAAGTTTGCTCCTTTAAAATACAATCTTGGGGCCTTTCAGTATTGCAAAAGAGATGCTGGTGACCTGCATACATAGCTCATCTATCCATCCATCCATCCATCCATCCATCCATCCATCCATCCATCCATCCATCCATAATGACAATGATTAGCATCAAGTATTATTTAAGAGAAGTACTAGTCACCAAATTTTGGAAGAAAGATAGTTATGACCACAAACCTCCAGGTAGCCTATGGCTTTTTGGCATGAATTTATTCCCAACTGTATTATTTGCTAGCCAAAAAAAAATCTATTATGGTGTGCTGGCAGATAGCTTTTTCTATTGCAAGGAACTGTTACTGTCAATGAAGTTTGGCCACCCTATGTCAAGGACACCCTTAACAAATGTTCTCAAGTGCAGAGTTTGTGTATCTCCCATAAAAGTTAATGGCAACTATTAATTCATAAGTAAAAAAAAAAAAAAGGACATCTCTAGGGTTAAAACTAAATCTTCCCCTTGACCCCAGTGATCCCAGCCATTGGAAACCATGCCTACTGCTATATCGGTATACCTCTCATCTGCATAGCCTCAGCTCAGGTTCCCTTTCTTAGATTATAGGAGTGGTACAAAATGCTGATTTTTATATGTAGATTTGTTCAATACCATCATGATGGTTTTTAGTGCAAACAATAAAAGTTCAAAGATCAAGGGCCTTAACATTCTAAGAAAAGAAGAGAGGAAGAAAGAGAATCGAGATTAACTTGATGTGAACGTTAGC